AAGTCAGATGAGCTAAGACCTGGCGCAGCATCTCCAGCTGAGGTAACTTCCAGAGCATCCAGAAACTCTCTGAAAGATCACTATTTGATATGCAAAACTTCAAAACATGCTGGGTTACAACTAAGATAGTCTCCAGAATTCATGGAGTTTTAGCTCCACTTCTCAGATATTCCCCAAGAATATGAATTGATTTCCCCTCCAACACGCACAGGTGCAGCCAACAGGGCAAAGCTGGGATGCTGTTACAGTCTAGATCTGTAATAGCTGATCTCTCTCATGCTGAGCGCAGTCTTCAGTTTCTGAATTATTCTTGTTCTTACTCATTCCCCAGTTTGTAAGTTCCCACACCACATTATTGTTTAACTATCCCATTTACAGTCAATACAAACTGGCTCCTGCTTGTTTGCTCTCCCACAGGGACTATATCTACCCCTAACCTTCCTGGATATATCAAGATCTTGGGATTCACATCTGAAACCAAAAATAACATTTAGGGTGCACTGGTCATCTTCCTCAACAGGTCTCTTTATAAGCTTTGTAAGTCACAGGGTCAACTTAACTGGGTTCATGGTAGAAATACGAGTAAAGCTTGGCTATGCTGTGCTAAAGTTAGATCTACAGCCTCTTTAAACTGAAGTACTGAATACAAATAAGCTATCTTCCCACTCTTTTTCATCTGGCAAGCGATTCACACCCAGAGGCTTCAGAGTGGCTGTAAAACCCCACTTTTATCTCTGAGCTGCCTTCATTCCACCTAGGTCTAGTCAAAGAAAAATGGCCAAACATGCCAGAAATTTGGGAGCTTAGGGATTTAGCAGGATCTTCCTCCAGTTCACCTAACAAAGCAGTCATATCACGGGTAGCTCTCCAAACAGAAGCCTAGGGGCAAGTTTTGATAGAATATGGTTTCGGTTCCTGAAGAAGAAAAGTATTAACAGAGAGAGGTAATGTGGAAACTCACAAGGCACACCCTGATGTGCTTTGCCTTTGACCAACAGCACCTTGCACTAAGAAGAGCCTCAGCAAGTTCTCTCCCCACGTTGCTCTCAGTCATTCCCGACACAGATTCCTCTAGGGCTGTTAAAACCAGTCTCTGTCCCAGTATGGAACAAAAGTCAGTAAGTCCTTAAGGTGTGAACTAGTTTCTAGGAATAGACTGTTACAGATAACAATTGTACTGGAGGAAAACTTTTCTAATAAGCCAAGACAACCCTTGCTTTTAAGCACCCAACTGTACTAAACTTCTGAATCTCTCCTTTTGGAACAGGCAGCAACACAGTGCAAGAAGTTTTAGACCTGTTACTAGGAGTCTATTCTTAAGCTGCTTCCACAGAAAACAGATTGGACTCTGGGTTCCAGAGGCCTGACACAATGCCTTAGGACAAACACACTTCAAGCACACATACTGCGTGGTCCAATAAAATTTGCCTTATTGCAGAAGGAAAGCCAACAAGTATTTTAGAAGACTTCATTAAGAATTAAGCAACTTCAAAGCCTAACAGAGAACATGATTTGGACACAGCAATCATTTTCTAGCTCATTTCACTCTTGTAATATGAAGTAAAGAAATTTCCCCTCTTTTTTTGACTTAGCAAGCATCCTCTCCAAGGGCAAAGTCAGCAAGAATCTTATGTTGGACTCCACTGAAAATACAGAGACTCAACGCTAATGCAAGATGCATGACATGGCGTAGACTGGTGAAGTCATTAACACTGGACTCTGGAACAAGCCTATGGGATGCCTCCAAGTCACTCTCACTGCTTATTCGTGCTATAGCGAACATATGATACAGGTGTTCATGCACATTACAGAAGTGACAATTTGAGTAAATGTACATCCCACAGAGAAGGCAGATAGCACTGTTATCAGCTTTCTATAAGCCAGTTGTGGATCCCATGCCCAGATCATTGTCACAAAAGAAACAACCAAAGAATTCAGAGTTTATTCTTTAAAAAAGTTATTTAAGAAGCAAAATAATTTACTTCAATTCAAACCAAGAGATGCATTATTGAAAGCAAATAATTATACAAAGTAACAACAAATTAGCCCTTGGATAAAACGTCCAGATCCCAACAGTTCCCTACCATCCTAGAGGTTATACACAAACATTCACTCAAGGCTTGGAGAGTAAAGGAGGACCGCATACAGGATCAGAATGTAACTCAAACTTCCTCTACTCTCCTTTCCCCAATAGACCTGAAGTTGCTTGAAATCCAATTCTAAGTCATTGAACTGTACTAAAAATGATTCTGTCTCAAGAATCATAGTTACTATCCAAAGTCAGTTATTAATGATCAAGTAATTGATGACAATAAGAACAAAATGTGAGCACTGTTGTTTGAACAAGACCATGGAGCGGGGACACTAACAGTAACAAGCCACAGAGTTACACTATCTTATTAAACTGCTGTTCTCCGTCCATAACAACAGAAACACTTCTTTCGGTTATTGGCACTTGTAATTTTTGAACAAGAGCTTTACCCCTTTTTCATATTTTACCTCAAAGTTGTTTATACCTGTTTTTCACAGTCAGGACAGTAAAGTTAGCTTGGCACCAACACAGTGCTGTGCTGTTAATTCTAAATAATAACATTTGGACTAAATCTACACCATCACCTTTTCCAGGGACCTGTCTTGTGCAAAAACATCTGTGCCTATCTTCTAAATAATTTTCCCAAAAGTTGTCAGGGTTTTTTTCCTTTCACAGTTCTCTTTCAGTTGCCGCCAAAAGCAGGGTTCTCTTATGTAGATAGCTGGAAACAAAGTACAACCGTTTACACTCACGACTAGTACAACACCCTGATTTTTTATGACTTGCTAGACTTGAATCTAAAACAATGCAGACAGGAGTACCACTCAGGTAGCTCAGCTCTGAAGCATCCTAAAAGCTGACACATCCTCCTCTAAGGTTCCAAAGGTGAATATCCTTACCAGGTCTTCTTCCCTTGTTAGATTTTATGTAGCCCCAGAGAAAGGTAACAACAAAGAGAAAGTAGATGCATTTGCCAGTTTCCAAACAATTCTGAGAATTCACAGCTTTTGGAGTTACAGCTTCATTTTTAATGACAACTAGAACATGCCATGCAATGTAGAGAATTATTATGATAAACCTCCATCCAAAATAAGCAATTTTCCATACTTGACCACGCAACCTGCAAACATCAAATGCCAGCTTCAAAAGGTTTCCCATGGCCACAGGCAGCAGGCAGTCGTGCTCTGAACTCTGCAATCCTGCTTGCCAGGAAAGCAACTCCTAAGTTTCCCAAATAATTAAAAAACATACATGGACCCGGATGACAAGATCTGACCATTCAAACATATCGCAAACTCCACATTGCTGTCTTCCCAAAATACTGAATCTATGTGACCAGATGTGTATCCCAAAAGCTATCATTTTCCATGTGTCATTTTATTAGGTGGACAACAGTGTGTCACACATCTCTTTAAGACGCAAGTCATCTCCTGTCACAGTGCTCAAAGAATCCTTTCACACATAACTTCACTTCTTGCACCAAACAAATGAAAAACACTGCTTGCTGATTACAGACATGACAGCTTGCAGTAATGGTAATTCTGTCATGTTTAACTTGCAGGCACGAGATCACCTTCAAACGAGCTCAACTCGAGTCACAGCCAATGCTATCCATAATGCTGCTTGCCACTGTGTATGTTGCTGAAAAATAATGTTTTATGTAGAAATATTGTATTTTTAATTATCAGTGTCAAATGAGTCAAGGGTAAAATAAACTGCAAAAAGTACTTATAAGGATTACTGCAGACAAAGAAAATGTGATGCAGATTGATCCTTGTCATTCTAAGAAGAGAATTAAGAATACAAGCAGTGAAGGAACCATTACTAAAAGGAACAATTTCTTCTCTCAGTATTTACGGATTTCTATTTGAAATTGAGAACTCCAAATTAAGATGTACGAATCCGATATCAACAAACTGAAACTAAGTCTCTCAGAATTCCTCTGTTCATGGTGGACTGAACGCTCCCTCTGTTGGCTGAAGGCTCATTACTCTTCCATCAGATAGTAACTGCAAACTCAGCTTTGCTGTGGGACACACTGTCTGACAACATAGAAGAGAATCAAGTATCAGCAGCACAAGAACTAGGGAATGACACAGTATTCCAAGAAGCACTGATAGGCTTTGCAACAGTGATCACACTTTTCATGTCCCAATTATATGAGGTGACAACGTTCTGTTCTAAGAACTCCTCACACAGCTTATGCAGTAATTCTCTCATACTTTGAGTGCAAGAGAATTACTGCTTAGTTTTCTGTTACAGTTCATTGCCTTCTCCTCTCAGTCTGGACATAGTAAGTCCACGACAACCACTGCACCAAATAGTCAGCCTGAAATTCCACACTCCTTCCCTGACAAGCAGACTTTCCAACTACATTTTACAGAGAGACATTTTGAAGAGACTATGTTTACAGCCTGGTGGTAAGTAATTCAGAAAAAAATAATTTGCAAGTTACAGACAGAGTTGAAAAACAACTGTCCAAACTAACTAACCTTCAGTTACTAGGTTAACTATTGAGAAGCTGCCCATAGATGTTGCCAGTTAAGGTTAAATATGAACAGCTGGCTAATTTGGTCCCACTTGGAAGAGATCTGAATGCTGCAGAAAACACCACAGAATATAAACAGTTCCACCTACAAAGAAAGTAAAAAACAGACACAGTATGTCCCCCTCCCCAGTTCAAGAGTCTTACAAGTGCCTGCTGGATCTTCCAGCCTACAAATTCCTGTTTAGTATTCTGTCAGGCAAAGAGATCACCCGCACAAGACTTGCCTGCTTAAGACAATGAGCTCTCAAGAAATTCCAGGCTTTGGGGTTTTCTTCAACCCAGGGGAATAGGGGACAACTTTAACTCTTCTTAGCAAACAGGCACTTAAGTTAGGAAAGATATCTGCTTTTTATTACAATAAATGAAGGATCAGTTAAGCAGTACTCCTGGCACAAAGGACATGTTACGAATACGCTGTACGGGTGCACAGGGAACAGATACCAATCTGAACATCCATGGTGGCAAAACCATTTCTGACATTACCTGACGAGCAATGATTAGTGCCACTCCTCTGATAGCACTGCAAATCAGAATCCAATAGAAAGGGGACAAACATCACTTCTAGCTTTTACTCTAGAGGTAAAGTGTCATCTTTTTCACAGCATTTAGTCTCTATAGTTCACTTTTCTTGTGACTGGTTTTCTTCTTGGACCCAGATAACACAGGGAGAAAAGAATCCCAGTACAGCAAGAGATGCGACTGCTCCGTTAGCTGAGCAAGGAGGTAGACGCCATAGATGTTCTCTTCAGATGGAGCACAGAAAAGGACCTTGTGCTAATTAACTGGTACCAAGATTCTGGTCACTGGCACCAAAATACTGCAGGGCATCAGCATGAGACGCAATACAGTAGCATCGAGACTCATCCAGCAGCTACATCTGAACAACATATTCTTGGCATCTGGAACAGAAAGGCATCTCAAATTAGCTCCTGTCCAACTTTGTGATGGATGTGCAATACAATGGTGTAATACAAGTCCTGAACTGGTCTACCTGTTTTTACAGTGATAAGCAACATCTTTTAGGTAACTGTTGAAAAGAATTTCACTCAGCTGGGGAGCTCATAAGTTTCATTACTTGCATTACTTTATTTAGTTAATCTTCAAAGAGTCCATATTCCAGAGGAACACAGCTCAACATAAGCTGTGCAGAAGCCAATCCATCATCAGCAAATAGCAACTGCAGAATTGTGCACACTCCTCTTTCTAGTTCAGGTTTTTCTTGTGTACAAGACAGAAATTACATATTCTCCAAATAGTCAAAATGGTTTCCCAAAGGAAGGAGACACTGACAAGAATTATACAGAAAATCACACAATTATCCATTCAGCAGAAATCCAGAGGCTACAGCCAAAAGGTTGCTGTGAATTTCCTTTTCTTAAGCTTTGCTTTCTACTTAGAGGGGAAGGGAAGAAAGAAAAAAAAAAAAGTCATCATTAATTGTAGGATCTAAATCTCTGTGTATCAATGAGTTATATAATAGGGAAAAATCCCAGCTATAGCAGCTAGTATTTCTAAGCCATGCTTATCAACAACTGAAAGACATACAGACAAGAAGCCCATGAAAAACTTAAATTACAGCTCACCTTATCACATCACAATGCAAGACAATCCCATACAGCCTTGATTTCCATCTTCACTGCTGTTGAGTTTTTTCATCCGGTACTGCCGGATCTCTCTCACCAGTGTGTAAAAAGCATCTTCCACACCCTGAATGCAAATGATCCAGGTAAAGTATTTTCTTTCCTGAAGCTTCTGAGATCACTGTTCTTTCCATCACAGGATCCCTTAGCATATTTGAAACACATACTTCTACAGGAAGAGTAGTAGCCAACTTATCCCATAGCTCGTAAGAGGAAAGAACTAGCACTTATGTCCAAACCTCTCCACTTACACTTTTGACTCTTCCTCTGAGGCAGTCATCTAGGGGAACAGCCATTACAAGCAACAAGGTAAACTGCAACTGTAGAGGTCCCATGCAGGAAACAAGCTGCTATGTCACTAATAACCTCCATTCCAGAATTGTTAGAATTTTCTGGCTACTGCTTAATAATTGCACCTTTTTTGCTTCACTCCACACTGACATAGGTAGAACACATGCTGACTGGACAGAGCCACACATTCAATACAACTATGAAGAATTCTACTAGTCCAGTCTGTAGAACTCTTCCTGTAAATGTAATCCTATAATTGGCCTTCATTAAGAAGCCAAGAAAACCAAACCGATCAGGGATAACTAACCGCACAGTGTGACCACTTCTCAGCAAGAGCAGATGAAGCTCTCCTTCTTACGAACATGACCCCCTTCAAAGAAAATCAACACAAGTCTGAAGTGATTTGCGTGCTGGCCTAGCCTAGTGATAAAAACAGAACTCTTTCAGGTTAAGAATGAGTGGGGAAATCAAAAGCTAAAAATTGCAAAAGGATTACAAAAATGCTTACTCCTGCAGAGAAGATAAAAAGTACATGGGAGAGTGTTAGACCATTCTGCATTTAGCATACAGGAAGTAGTCAGGCCAAGAATGGAAGCATCTTACCTGTCTTGTTTTAGCAGATGTCTCTATGAAGGGGATTCCGTAGCTTTTTGCTAATTCTTGAGCCTGTTTTGTGTCTACTGTTCTTGTGGGCAAATCACACTTATTCCCGACTAGCACCATTGGCACATCATCTGAATCTTTCACTCTCTTGATCTGTTCTCTTTAAAAAGACAAACAAAAAAAAGTTAGGAACTATTTCCTAAATATAAAAGCTGCATTAGTTCAGTATCCAAACAACTCCGTGCTACAAAAATATGTTAAAGCTGGACAGGACCTCAGGGGTTCTAACCTGCAGCAGTACATCTAATAACTTCGTACCCTCCATCTTCTAGTCCATGTATAACTCCACTCTGATACGTGTTTGCCTTCTTACCCATTTCCATAGAGATCACGTTCTGTACCCTCTAGGTATCATTTGATTAACACAACACTCCAGAGAACTGTCCCACTCTCAGCTGACTAATAACGTACAGACACAGAACATAGGTAAGCTTGAAAATCTTTCTGAAAGAAGTGGGAAATTTAATATTTGTCTATTATTTAGTCTTCACTGAGTCTAACAGAAAATGGGTCTGATGCCTTTTCCAGTCTTCCCTCCCTGTGGTAAAGGCCCAGATCATACCTGTAAAGGTTAATATCAGCAAACGATTTACTGTTGTTAATGGCAAAAACACAGAGGAATCCTTCCCCAGTTCTCATGTACTGATCACGCATGGCACTATACTCTTCCTGTCCCGCAGTGTCCAGAATGTCTAACAAGCACGTCTCTCCATCAATAACAACCTGCTTTCTATATGAATCCTGCAAAACACACAAGTGATTTTTAGATTAGAGGAAAACATTGTACTGCTTCTTTCCAACTCAGATATTGCTAAGGAAAAATAAAAATCATAATAAAACAGAAGAGCACGACTCAGAGGAGCTTTTCTACCCTGCTCTAATGGAAAAATACCAGTATCTAAAACTATCAGCATCTAAAATGTTACTCTAAGCTCCCTCGACTTTTCTTACAAAAAAGAAAAATCCTGGTTTTTGTAAGAAATTACTCAACTAGCAAACAGAAAAAACCATCATAACCACCACCCCCACAACACCGTGACCAGAACGGGCAACCTACGCGGGCCGGTGGTGACTCTTTTGTTGCCGTGGCTGGCCGCGCTCCGCCCGGGAAAGCCGGGAGCAGAGCGCAGAAGGAACCTCCGCAGAACTCTCCCTGCATTTCTTACCCTGTGCGCCCCGACCTCGCATCTGGCTTTTCAGGCAGAAAGCCAAACGAGCAGCAGCCCCCCGCCTCGATTCCCACGGAGCTCCCCGCCCGCGACCTTTTTTTTTCCCGCCGCTTCCGGACACGTGACGCCCCGGGAAGCAAGACACGGGCCACGAGGGAAGCTTTTTTCAAAATCAGTAAAACTTTATTCTATTTCCATTCTTTGCCATTAACAGAAAAAAAAAAAATTGGAGAAAGCAATGTTTGTTTTACAAAGATAATGCATCTCCCAGAGAAGAAAACCCTAAATTGAGAATAGAGGTAACATGAAAAAAACCTAAAAAAACAAACCAAACCACAGTACTGCCCTCTATTCGAAGAGCGAAACTCCTGATCTTTTTGGTTAAAGTAATACTTAGACCAATCACTCAGTTTTCTTGCTTGATAAAGTGTGACTGGGGAATGGAGGGAGGGGGCAGGGGGAGGGGGAAAGCACACAGACATCAACTATTTCACCTTGATGAAAGTCTCAATACAGCTATGGAGAGCCTAAGTATTTATTCTTTTACAGTACACTGGGTGCCAGCTGCAAAAAAAAGAAAACAAAAATTTATTCACTTCAGGCACAACTTCTTTCTTTTTAAATTTAAATCAGTAAAAGAAACTGGGTTTAGAAGCTGCAGTGTTCTAAGCAGCAGCAGAACTGTGCATTTTTTAAATATATTTAAATTACCACACTGATGGCACACCTCAGCCTTATGAAATTCTGCACTGCACGTGTTTCAGAACGCTACAAAAATAAGTCTACCCTGGACAGAGACTTTCACTGAGCTCTAACAACTTGGCTGCCTAAAGGACTGGAGTTAAACGAAATCTGAAAACATTGTAACATTTGGCCATCAACTTAAGTTATCTGAATGCTAATACAGATTATATATAAAGTCAAACTTATTCTACCCTCATGGTCCTCAGAATTTGAGCAGAGCAAGCTGAAGTGAGCCTTCCGCTTCCACTTGGAAGGAAAGTCATAACACAATGGAGCACTAAGGCATAGTAATACCTTGGCCAAAATAACAAAGATAAAGCATAGATAACTGTAGTGCAGAATTCCATAAGGTCTACCAGAGTAGAGCTGTCTATAATGTTTACTCACATAGGCAATGTAGATTTGCAGTTACCGGTTGCGTTAAATGCACCATTCAAAACAAGCTTCTAAAATGTGATACTATAAGGCGCCACCGTAAGTTCTCCAGAATGCAACTGTGCATAATTTTAAAATGGTTTCATAAATTTATTTTAAACATAACATGAGAAGGTGTTAAAACCGGTGTAATAGCTTCTTAGAATTTGGAGGAAGGGATGAATGGGGAGATATTCAGTACCCTTCACCAGCCCCCACCACTCAGTCGTACATCAGGTATGGGTTTTGTGGATCAGTCTATAACACCAGCTTGACGGATCTTTCTCTCTGCACCAAATCCCTGCAAAAAAAAAAACAAAACAAAACTTTTTAGCTCTGGCATAGTGCTTTAAAGCAAACCTGTCTTCAGAAACAAGAGACAGTAACAGAACAGGTTCTGTGGCCACGTGGCTTTTTTTAGTCCTAGATACTTCAGATTCTAGACACTTTACTCCTTCTGCTTATCAAGTGGGGGCATAACCTTATGTGAAAGCGGAGTTTAGACAAAGGGCTTTCACTTAGGATCTCTGAAAAGGGGAGTAGGATTTATAAAATAAAAAACAAACCAAAATAGCCATTATGGGCTAGAACATCAGCAGAAATTGGTTGCTTCTATACTACGTGCTCTTCTGAAACCACAACACGCATTACTGACACATGGTACAGCACCCCTAAATTCACACATCTGACACAGCAGGCGACTAGTACACTATGGAATGAAAGCAGACACCGGTTAAGGCTTCCGACAGAGGAAGCAGTGTTATGTTATTTAAGTCAAAACACAAACTGCAGAAGAACTGCAAGCCAGCCTTTCTTCTTATGTACCTTTGAGTTATCCGGTCCCCTAGGCTGACGAAGAACTGTTAGACGAGGAGCATTGGCATCATCCAGATTAATGCTCTTCAAACGATTAACAAGTCTATCAGGACGTGGAGCAGCAACAGCCTTTGCGCCTTCGCTGTAACAGAGTCAACCATACAGACCAGCAATGACTTCCCAGAGATGGTGTAAGCTACCTAATTTATAGTCACTTTCCCCATTAAGCCATTAGCATAACCTGTCTCATGTGAAAGCGGATCCGCTGGATGATACCATGTATGTCTGCCTCAAAACCATTACTTTAAACACAGGACTCTGAAACAGCAGTAGCTCAAAACAGTATTCTCAAAAGGGTGTTCTTTAGTGAGCAGAGGTGTTGCATTTACTCTCATGCACACATAAATAGTACTTCCTACATTTCTGTTCCCTTTAACTGGAACAATGAAAGGCTTATGAGCTGCCAGTATGTAATGGCACAGTATTAACATCTCTGAAGATAACACAATTTTGAGAGAAAAAAATTGCACATTAGCACTTCTACAGCAACAAGAAGCTACCTCAAGCTTAAGCAAAATCCAAATTGGGTAGTCTTCTGCAAAATGTATAAGCAGTTCAAAAGCAGTTCAAAAGCAAAAAAAAAAACCCATCGCCCTTAAGAAATGACATGCCAAAACGAAAAGAGTGCCTAACAACATTGTTTTTCTATTTAAAAATGAAAGTTGCTCTTCAGGAGACAGGTGGGAGCACCATGTACTATATGCTGGCCAGAGAGGCCAGCTACTACAGAAGAATACCATCAGTTTTCTTATCATTCATTAATTTCTACTTAGAAGGCTGTACCAAAGTTCCTGCGACAGGGCAGGGGGAGCTTCTTAAGAAGAGATTAAGAAGCCGCCACCTGCAACTACAAAAAGCTGAGAGTTCTGCCGCTGCACTGTCCTGGACATCCTCCAAGTGCTGGCAGTTCTCAGATGAGAGGCTCTTGCTGAAGCCAGCTGAAATTCAGTGCTCCCATTCTAAGGAGCAGCTAGCTCAACTCAGAAGCAGCATGCGCTCCACTACTGTTATGTAGACAGTATGCCAGATTAAATCAATTCTAAATTCTCACCAGACACGCCACACATTACAGGCACTGCATTTTCCTGTGCGCTGGTTCAGGATTACTGAGAACTCCACTTCATCCCCAGCCTGTAGCTCCACACCATCCTGAACTTCTTTGACATGGAAGAAGAGCTTTTTGCTGTCACCCACTTCATAGTTAATGAAACCAAACTGAAAACCAACACATCACAAGGTTATTTCTTTCCTCTTGCTCCAAACACATGCAACAACTCACTCATTACTGCAGTTTAACTACATCCAGGGAAAAAAAAAACCCACTCTGAAGTGGAAATGCAATTTCTACATTGAACAGAACATTCTCTCCAGAAACAATACTTGAAGTCTAGGCATTCTTCTTGGGTTAGTAAAGTCACATTTAAACCCCAAAGTCTATAGAACAAGTTCTGAAAACTGCCAAAGTCCTGGCAGTTGCATTAAACCGAGAAGAGCACTGCTTCATGTTCTAAGACTCCATCTTAAAAGTTATACAGTAGAAACTACTCAATTTTTTAGTCTGTCACTGGTGTAAGCAGTCATTTACTTCCATTTACCATTCCACTCATGCATAAACCAACAAAACTCATCTCTCCATAGATGTCTAGAACTTAGTGGTGCAGATGAACTATAAAAATAGAAAGCATTCACAGCACTTGATTTTCTAATCATTCTGAGATGCAGCTAACTAGGGCAAATGATCAGCCTTCGCAGTTGAAGTGGACTGCAGTCATTGACTGCTTAATGCTCCAAATAAGCATCTTCTGGAAGCAGAGTATGCGCAGTTTTGTTTCTTTTTTTAAACACCTTTTTTTTTAATGCCCTGTTCAGCAGAAACTAGTTAGATCAATTCTAGGACATCTCAAAATCAGGTCTTCAGAATCACCCACTGCAGGAACTGCTGCCCACTCGTACCAATGCATCAGCACCAAACCAAGCACTGAGTTCACCTTTACTAAAATCACATTACACAGGCTTGCATAAACTAGTACTTGGGATACACAAACCTACTTCCCTAGAACCAGAGTACAAAGCAATCCATTTCTGCACAACAAGCTTCCTGGACGGAGGTGCTGAAGTGGGTTCTCATCTCATCTGCTCTATGCCAAGTCAAGCAGTTATTTCCTATTAACCTGCACCTTGCCTTCATTAGCAGCGGTCACTCACCTGATCTTTCACGCATTCCACTGTGGCCCTGCGGAACGGTGTGATGTTAACAGCCATTGTCTGCCCATTTTGACCAAGAACACAGAGCTGAAACTTTACTGTCTCTCCCTTTTGCAGACAGTCACCTTTGTTTGCCATTCCAACAATTCCAAACGGATAGACCTCTCCTTTCATCTCACCTAGAGGAGGAAAAAGTATGAGACAGAACTGAGTGGCATCCTTTCCTACCTGAGGGCATTTAGAATTTATTTCCAATATTAGAAGTGGTACTTCTACTGCCAGTTTAGTAGTATGAATATAGTCTGTAGCGTGAATATAATCCTCAACACCTCTATTTAC